TTTGAGATTCCCAGAGATGTCTGCTCGGAGATAGACACGTGCCCGGGGAAAGCGAGCCCTGCCCGAACGACGATAGCTCGAGAGCCGGGAGTTGCATAATTTTGTAGAGTAACGGCCGGACTATCTACGCATGCAAAAAAGTTGCTAACATTGTATGTTAGTTTTCTGAGAATGGAGCTGGTTTTCCTAAGATCCTCCGGAAACCCGATCTCTGGAATTTTTTCAAAAGTTGCTTCCGCTTGTGAAAAGTTCTGCTCAAGTCTTGGCTATTGAACAGCGAAAATCGCAGGTCTCTATCTCATTCCTATCAAAAGTTATTCAAAAAGTGGCACCCGGCACTGTATTTTGGTATGGATAGTAGTAATCGATTTAATCTTACTCGAAATGGACAAACAGTTGTTTGTTGTTTATATTTGGACGGTGGTTGTCGATCAGAACGATAGTAATACAGAAGTAACACAAAACCAATGAACAAACATAAGATTATTGAAAAGTACTTCTTTCTTATTGAATATAAACGACATCGCATCTACACAATTAAAGGAGTTTAAATCTACAACGATAAACATGAAGAACATACAAAGATGTAATAAAAGAAAGTCAATTGCTTTGAATTTAATACGATTAAAAATCAAATCGGAGAGCGTACAGTTACATCTGAAAATTATTTTACTTTTAGAACTCTATCTTTTATTTCTATGGCTCAGCCGTTTTGTATTAAAAATTTATTTTTACCGGTAAAATAACTGTTATGCAGATAAACCCTAAAGTGTTAATGGCAATAATATTGTCCTATTAATAAAGATTCATATCGCGCCTTAACATAATTATGTCACTATGCTTACATTTTCAATCCATTTCTTTGTTATCAGAATTTCTGAATCCATGTCTACATCATATGAGATAATGACATATCCAATATTAGATTCGATGCCACCTTATTTTACCTGGTTAGAAGATTCTGTATTAGCTGCCAGCTCTTATCCATATCATCATTCACATATTCGCTATTTGAAAAATCATCGTATACACACTATCGTTAATATTGGCTATTCATCAATCTCAATATCATCATTTCCATCGATCAAATCTTATTGTTTAGAAATAGATGAAAACTATTATCCGACATTAGAGCAATGTGTGGAATTCGTTAATCTTGTTCTAATAGCAAAGCAAAGAGGAGAAGTAAGTGTCAATGAGTAATCAACCATACGCTACGCATATTTAATAAGAAGTTTCATCTAATTTTACTATAAAAAAACTAATTATTTTATTTCGGCTGTACTTGTACAATCACAACGTGGACGAGGAGCATTGGCAACATTGTGTGCATGTTATTTCATAGCAAGATGGAAATTATTACCAGATTATGCAATAAACAGTTTTTCAACAATTCGTCCAGCCTCATTTGATACCGATGCCCAAAAACTAATTGTTAAACAATTTCATGTCTTATGGACACAATGTAAATATTAACTATGAAAATGAGTTCTTATTCAAGACATATCATAGGATTGAAAATTAAATGAGATGTATTAGACTAAGATCATTATCAAAACAAACTACACAATATAATTAGTATAAACAAAAAAATCGAGCTTTCTCTCTCTCTCTCTCTTTATATATATAAATACTCACTTTATTTTTCGTAAAGCATTATCACAACAAAAAACTGAAATATCTGATAACTGAAATATTGACTGCATAACAAATACAAAACAAAAAAATGATGCGTTTCTTATTAGAGATAAGTAGTACAAAGATCACTTGACTGTTTAACAACAATAGAAATAACGACTATTTATATATGACTATTTAACGAACGAAAAACGAGAATATTTATAAATAGAAGCTGCTATGTATGAACTAGAACTAGAAAAAACAAATACAAAATAATCATTCGAAAAAAATTAAATGATTGAAAGACAAAGATTTTGGGATCAATAAACGAATGATCTGACAGAACTTGATTTTGTATAAAGATCTAATTCTTTAGACAGACAGCAGTATTTTATGTTTGAATTAATCATTCTCGAATATCAGTAAGGATATGTTTGTTGTTTTTCTTTCTGGTGATATTCATCAAAAAAATGTTGACACAAATATTCTAATTGATTTTCGTCTAATGGAATCCAATTACCAGGATCAGAGTGTTCATTCATATAATTCTGAATCGTCAAAGACGCCATTCCAAAATCATCATTGTCATTCCTTGTAGCATTCGCACCCCATCTATCATCGTGATCATAATACCATTTTGCTTTTGTTGGCAATGGGATAATAAGACGTGTAGGAAATTCATTAGTTTCCAATTCACCTAAAAGCCGGCATCAATAATACAAAGATAAACTTCTTGTTTGTTTAGCATCTTATTCTAGTTCTTATCTTATTTCTATCTCTTTAGCAGATTTGTAATAGTCCAATATACTTTAGAAAACCATGTAAGGCTGTTGGACTTTGGACTCTGATAAACTTTAAAAGTTCACTCAGTCAGCATAAGTCTATTAAACATAAAAGCCCAAACGTATAAAGTCTGCTCTTTGTTATAAGTGATAGTACTATAAAGCTGTACTGTACAATAAGGCTAATCGATAGACATATGTGTTACAACAATGAGACTGTAGTATTCGGCTGATGAGATCGATCAACCAGGAATGGGTGCATGAAGGGAAGCTACTGACGAGGGAACCTTTCGAGATGTAACCTTCCGATTCCAATGATTTGTACATGGATCGATAGACCCCAGTGAGCTAGTAAATACTCTAAAAGGATTCGTGCCCGTGACTCTTGAAGACTCGGTTTTCTTGAAAACTAGTTTTTCCAAAACTCTAAAAAATAATCAAAACCTTTTTTTAATGAGGCATGATTGTAACCCGCAAATTTCTGATTAAAATGAGACCTCTCCCAGCTCTACATAACCTTTCTTTGCAAAGTTATACAATTTACAAGAAAAGTCCTAAATGTTCATTGTCAGCTCAAAGCTACAGAAATAAAACGAAATTAATTTATAGCTTTTCTTGTAAACTCTATAACTTTGCAAAGAAAGGTCATGTAGAACTAAGAGATGTCTTATTTTAATCAGAAATTTGCGGACTACAATCGTGCGTCATTAAAAAAAGGTTTGGGTTATTTTTTAGAGTTTCGGAAAGAGTAGTTTTCCAGGAAAGCGGGCCTTCAAGAGTCATGGGCACGAATCCTTTTAGGGTATTTACTACATCACTGAAGTCTATCAATCCATGTATAAATTATTGGAATCGGAAGGTTACATCTTGAAAGGTTTCCCTCGTGAGTTCAAATCGAAATAAAAAATTGCTGTATTTTACATTTTTTCTCGTGCCATATAATACATTAATCTTGTTGTAACGGAGAAAGCTAAGTTCTGTTTCATTTTAACAATGTCAGGTAGAATAGCTTTTTTTCTCATAATCCTTGTTCTCTCACGTCTAATCAGAAACTCTGAAACAATGTAGCCAAAACATACAAAAGTCTTCTAGCTAATTTACTGAGACGTTGATAGAAAATAAGATAACTTTACATATCTCTCTTCCGTAATCGCAGTTTCTTCTTAAACAAAAATTGTTGTTGTTTCGGTCGAACGAAAAAAGATTTGATAAATGAGGAAATAGTTGTTACGGATAGATTACAGGAGTATTATTGAATTGCATCATACATGCGGGCATGGCTCACAATCAGAACAACAAAAATCAAAGATAGAAAACTAAAAATATTCTGTTAATTTACGCTCAAACTAGAAGCGATCGAACATCGAATACAAAAAGCTTAAGTCCAACTCTGAGTTTCTAGAGAAAACCTGCAGTCTAAATTCTCGAAAAAAATCCCTTCAGTTCAAACTCAAGTCGGAAGTGCAATCCTGCAACCAATTGCCGATAACTAACTTACCGTCTTCTTTTTCATTTTGTTCTTGATTTTTCGACAAACGATCGTTTAACAATTGTTTTTCCTCGTTAAGCGTTTTTTGTTGTCGTTGATAGAGTGCCATATTAAGCGTCGTCGCGTTTGACGGTTCGGGCGTTGTTGATGATGATGATGAATATCGTCTAGTTGGAGATGATTTTCTCCTTTCACGCTGTGATGAGGAATTATTTCGTAATTTTAAGTTACGTGATAGACGTCTTGATGGTGGCGACGGGGGTGATAAACTTTTTCGTCCTTGACGATGTCGTGATAATAAACACTGGCGTGTTTTTCTCATTCTCGATATTGAGCGTGGTCGTCGAGAGTCTACATGTCGTTTCTGCGACGATGAAGATCGATTCCGGTGTACCCGTCTTGAACTTGAACAATGACGTTTTTTTGTCTCTTTTCTCTTTGAAGATGGAGATCTAGACGTTTGAAAGAAAACAACAGAAAAGTGATCAAAATACATAATAATGCATGCCAATTTAGATTCTTGCCCGACTATTCTTTTATTGAATTGCTTCTTCAAGCTTTTATTTCTTATAGTTCTAACAACCTACCGGGATGAGTGATCACGAGATGACGATTGTGTTGATCTTGATCGTTTTCGCACAATTCTATTGTTACCAAACGATGGTTTTGGACTATGTTTTTTATCGTCAAATTGACGTTTAACTCGATTTAAACGGTTATCAACCTTAAATTGTAATTTAATATATTCTACATCCTTCTTATTAACTTGTTTAGAGTTATTGAAGAGTTTTGGTATCGACTCTTTTGATGGAGAACTTGTCGTTGTGATTGTTTCTTCTTCGGCTATTTTTTTATATTTCCTTTCGCCACTTCGTACACTTGATGGATAATTTAAAAAATTTTGTTGTTGAATAAAATGATTTGATTGTTGTTGATGCTGATGAAAATTAATGTTATAATGAATATTTGTCGATGGAAAACCACCGTATGGACAAATGTAGGAAGAAGAAGCGACTAAAATACAGTAAAATGAATTTGAAATCTTCATAGTAAATTCACTGTGTTATTTGAATGACATAACGATCCGATAAAACTCCGAGGCCACTTAAAGCTGGTAAATTATACAGTCTGCAAGAAATGGCTGTAGATAATAGACACAGTTTTATAATAAGAAAAAAAATAAACAAGACTTACTCGTATAAGGTAATGATGCAAAAGTAAGCGATGAATTATCATAATTTGGTTGTTGATATTGAGAATTAAATGTTAGTGGTAACTGACTGAAAGTTGACGACAAGAAATTACAAGGTTGATGAAACTGAAGAAATTCATTTGAACTAATAAATTGTTCCGGAATAATCGATGATGGAAGACCCGGTACTTGTTGCGTCCATTCTGAAATATAATTTGTCATTGTCGAGAAGAAAACATTGTGAGAAAAAAATAGAACAAATGGTTGACGAAGTTTAACACATCTGAAATGAGATCATATTTTTATATCGATAATTCGTGAATAAACATACATCTATAGACGTATAAATAGAGATAAACTTCTTACTTAAATAAAAGTATTGCTAAAGGTTTATCTTAATGTTTTATTATAGAAATCTGCGTGACATTGCAAATCTTCGAGTAAAATCTGTATATGTATATCAGTGTTTCACTTATTATTTTATTTAAAAAAAATAACTTGCTTTTACTTCGAATTGAAAACAATAACAAATAAAGAGGAACGATTAAACATGTTTCTCATTTTTTGTTCAAAACAAAGAAAATGCAATTAGTGTTACTGTATAAACATCTTTTTCTGTTCATTTTAATAGCAAAAGAAAAGTTAATACTTTGTGGAGAACATAGTCTGTTCTTATTCAAGATGCACAATATTGTTTGACGTTGAAATTTTTAACAAATGAAGTTATTTCTATTCCCATATGCACGTATTTGTTCTTGTCCCTACTGTTTTCTTTATTTCAATTGATAAAGTAATCATTTTATACTAACAGATATTTTATTTAGTCCAATTGATTCTTATTCTCATAAAATGCCACTCCGTGTTGAACAAATGAAATTTGTTTTATCTATTTCTGATTATTTTTCTTCTTCAATTTATTTAAAAATCGTTGCCGTTGACGACGTCGATATCGAGGTTTTGTTGATATTGATTTTGATGACTGAGTACCATACTGACTTTTTTGAATAGCACGAAATTTAATTTCTGCTCGTACTTCTTGTTCATAGGACAGTTGTAAAACATTTAATGGAGGATTTTCTTCTTCAAAATTTTGTTTTCTTAAATGTTGTCGTTGACGATAATATTCAATATCATCTATCCATGGTTCAACATTGTGTGTTTGACTTTGTTTTTGTGTATACTCTTTCAAAAGTAGAGTAACGGTTTTCAAATCTTTCACTTGTAATAATTCGGGTAATTGTTGTTTTATTTCATTTGAATGTAATATTTGATCGAAATCTTAAAATGGGAGAACGTATAATAAAAGAAATAGAGAATATTGATCAAACTACAACCAATAGAAGTTTTTTCTTATAATCAATACTACGTCTTGAACATCGCGTTTCCACTATAAAGAAGTCTCAGAATCAAAAGAACAGCTAAAAGAAAATCGATTGCAGTAATAGATTCGGAAAACAAAAGTTTTATCTCATTAAATCGTTTCTCGCTAGACGGTAAAAATTCTTTTCTTCTGATGAATGTCACAGCAACTAGTGACTTTTTCATTCTACGGTCGATAATGAGAAATAACTTGTATTGATAGTAAGAACTTTTGATCCCTTCTGTCGAAATAAATCAACAACTTATAGATCAAGTTATCTTTGAACTATTATGTGTTTTTCGACTTAAAATAAGCTTCTAAAGTTTTGCTCGAATTAGTGATATCTCGATACATTCAGCACGTGTTTGTCTGTTCGTTGTGGAAAAGTAAAAATAATATAGCATCAAGCAATAATCTTCTGTTTGGAAAAAATAAAAATGGCCGAGACGTGTATTTCTTACCCAGTCCTGCTGTTTGTTTGTTATTCGTTGCTGATGGGTTTTGTTCAATTAAACTCGCCAGTACATCAATTAATTCGTGGACGCGCATTTTTGGTGATAATGATTTATCTGACGTTGGTTCTGTTATTGATAATGTGTTAGGGCAATGTTGAGAATATTTGGCAGTCGTTGTTGTTGTTACTGACTCTCTTTTTCTTGGATCTGAGTACTGTCGTCGTTTATTCGAATCAAAATTGCGTGTTCTAGATGAAGTTGGTGATTTTAATCCGACTGATAGTTCTCTGGAATATGATCTTCGATTAGAAGACTGTTCACGTGAGCGAGATGCCGTTCTCAAATTATGTCGAAAGTGTTGGTATGAAGTACTATTATGATGATAGAAAGATTGTGACCAGCGAGAAGAAGAATTAGAAGAGTTAGAAGATATAGAATTAGAACGATAACGTTTTTTAACATCTAATGTTGCTCCAGCTCGTATTAGATGATCTTCAATTTTCCATTGTAAACGAAAAAATTCAACCTCATCGTTATCTACTTGTGGTAGTACTGGTTCCTGTTGAATAATTGTGGATGTTGTTGGAGTCCAATTCATTTGTTCGAACTGTGAACAATGCGACTGTTGATAATAATTCAATGGCCATTTGATAGTAGAGTTGTCATTTGTTGATTGATATAAAGTAGAATTTGAAGGGCTACTGTAGGACAATATTGTTGGATTAGTTAGCCCCATCAGTGGAGTATCTATAATTGAAGTAATACAGAAATGCTAAGCATGTTTATAAATAAATGATTAATTGAGAAGTAATATTAGATTGGCCAAAAAGTTCTGCAACACTTGCGAAAAAGTATTTAAATACTAGTGTTGCAGAACTTTTTGGTCAACCTAATAATTTGGATAAAATCATATAGTTAAAAAATCTCACTCACTGCAGAGACGACGATCTCAGTAAATATTAACTTCAGAAAGGTAATTTATAAATCGTCTATATCAAATATAGAAACAAACGAAAGAATCTAAAAATAACTATGTTTCCACATACACCAACTCTTTCGTTATTCCACTAAAAATGTTTACCATAATTAGTCATTTGATAATGTGATGAATGTTGTTGACGATAAGATATAGGACACAGATGCGTGTGTTGTTCTAAATGTGGAGACATAAAATCAGCTGATGCAGTAGAAGTTGAAGGATATTGATTGGATGCATAATAATAATGTTGTGACTGTAATAGTAATGGTTGCTTTTGTGAATATAATTGAGGACGAAACATTAGACTACTGCTATTTGTCGAATGAAAATTATTCCATTGTGGAGAGTTATTTTCCATGCCTGAAAGTGCACGAAACATGAAATAATCGTACGTCAGCTTCTTGTCAATTTACTCGTAAGATTTATTTGTTTATGTTTTAATGGTATTGAAGGGAATGGTAACGGTAAAGTCAATGGTCCATTACGGCCAAACTTTATTTCTTTTATATCACATTTTTGTTTCTGTTTTCTATTCTTTTTACGTTTTGTTGTTTTTGTTTTCGCATCTTCTTTCATGATAACAGTATTCGTTGATCCTGTTGGAATAGTAATCGTGGTTGCTGTTATCTAAGATTTTAAATTTAATTTTTCATAGAGTAAAACAGATTATCGTTGTATGACTTTAAATTGTCGCAATGTTCAGCATTTTTTAGACATAATATCAACAATACTCGACCGCTGAATGTGGTATTTTTGTAATAAATAAAAATTATTATTATTTTGTAAAAATTATTTGGAACTAAATCAAATTCATTGTATTTCAAACGAACAAATTCTGGTAAACGATAGAAAACAACTTCCTAAAAAAAGAACAACATACTTTTATACAATTTGAAACAGAATTTCAATTGTTAAACAAAAACAAAGTATTATTATCATTCAATCAACTATGGCAACACATGCCTAGGTAATAAGGCACTGGTAATTCAAAGTTTCAGCAGAATTTATTTTTGTTTTATATCACACTCATGAGGAAATAGCTAAGTAGCATTTTTGGAAAATTTTGTTTCGTTACTGAGAAATTCAACTTTTTCGAAATCGATGAAAAGTTAATGAAATTGGGCTCGTATTTTGGTGTTTCTTCTATCAAAATTCAACTTTTCGACAAAAACAATGCCATTTTCGGGATCAGCATAAAAAACTGAATTGCAAAATGTATGTTTCCTAATTTTTAGTCCGTATTTTTTCGATTTTCTCAAAAATTGAACACTAGGGATTTTCCCTCAAAAATGCAAAATTGCTGAAAAATTACGAAACACACATTTTGCAACTCAGTTTTTTATGCTGATCTCGAAAATGGCATTGTTTTTGTCGAAAAGTTGACCTTTGATAGTAGAAACACCAAAATACGAGCCCAATTTCATTAATATTTCACCGATTTCGAAAAAATTGAATTTCTCAGCAACGAAACAAAATTTTCCAAAAATGCTACTTAGCTTTTTTTTCATGAATATGACTAATATAATCGAGTGAAAATATCTGTTATATTTTCTAATTACAGAGACCTGATGTGTTTGCGAAAAGCTCGGGAGCATTTTTCGGATTCTACTCATGTCTAACGTACTCATCGACCATTCTAAGTTCTACAAATATGAAATCAAATTGTTTATTTTCAATTTTGAATCGGGAATAAAATAGTTTGAGAAGATGAAAAGAGAGGAAAGACTGAAAATTTGGCTTGTTTTTGAAAAATGAAGGCTATTTTAACGAATTTCAATTTCTCTTTTGTTGTAATAGCTAAAGCGAACATTTTTCTAGGTAACTCGATGAGCTCTATCTAACCATGTATAGATAAAACAAAAATAAATTCTGCTGAAACTTTGAATTACCGACACCTTAGAAGAATAGAAAAAATACATACGCACATGTTTTCAATGAGCGCATGTGATAATCTGTTTCTGTTGTTTTTCTAAATAAACTATGTGTACTGGCTGATATTCAACTTCTCTACTTTCGCGCCATGTCATTTAAGATAAACGACTATAGATAATTAACGCGCTATTATATGTCTTTCTTTGTTAAGTATTTATAACAACTTGCTCTGCTGTGAGTCATACCCTTTTATATGTGATCATACAAAAAATCTGTTGCTTATTCTGTTGTTGTTTTTTTATTCTTTTAATATAGAATTTTCGAAAAACGGATGCACAACTTTACTGCTTACTGCTTCTAATTTGGGTATTTTTGAACGTGTCACATGTCGTTCTTTCATCTTCACATGTTCATCAGAATTAATATGCTAAATGGATACTGCTTTTTAGGCATCATTTTTACAACTTGATCTATTCTTTTTACCATTTGATAATTATTTATAAAAATAGTAACTTTTGGTTTTTTTTAGAACACTTTGTTCCAGTACATGTTGACTTAATGTTTGTCGAATATCCTGTTTTGTTTTTCCAATGGCACGATAGCTTCTTCCATAAATATACAAAATACTTTCATATTGTTGTTTACCACTGGTTGATATTTGTTTTAAACCAAAACGAAATAAATCTGTAAATAATTCGATCTAAAAATTGATCGATATAAAAAGATTTCAATTATTTTGATAAATAAAAGAGAAAAAAACCATTCACATACTCGATTAAAACGTGCATCAAATAATAATATTTTTAATGGTGATCGAGGTAACGCTTTATCCTAAATAAATACAATTGAACAATCTAGTAAAACGTTCAAAACTACCTCATATTTCAGACTATTTATAAGTTGAACTGATAGATAGAAGAAACAAATTTCAGTTACTTTTAATCGTACAATTTTTCTAACATGTCTGTTGGAAAATATAGGTTTTCTCCATAAAACTAAACTATTGTTAAAATCGTATGAACAATTTTTACACAATAAATCGTAGGTACTCGTTGAATTCATGTCATCGATTAATAAATTTGCTCTTTAACATAATACAAAACATAATGATCTAAAAAAAAGTAAGTAAAATCAAAAGTGTGCCTTTTGATAGCATGACAAAAAGAAAATGAGTGTTGATCTTGTAGTCAATATTTTTATAGACAGAAACGGTTTGTATTTCGAGAAAAAATTTATTTGTGTACACACATTTAATACGCACATGGTGCTTACTATACTAGTATCAAAAGTAAACGAAAATAGATCGTCGTTTGAGAAGCTATGAGTGATGTATACATTATCTATTTGGATTTTTAGCTTGTTATCGTAGTCTCAGCAAATTAACGCTTTGTTTTGAAGACAATCTTTTCACGTGGAATAAAGCATATTTTCTTCATGACAATATGTTTGCCCTTAATACGTCTATAGTATCCACAAACATTCAATAACCAGTAGTCTGCTCATCTGCGTATTTTTTAATCGTAGAAGTGTCAACTCCAGTTAAAAATCTGCATAGACAAAGCCCGCCTATGTTAACAGGTAGACTGACCTTCTTGTTCATAGTGCGAACATTTCTTTTTCTAGAACAATATGACATAGTTTCAATATAATATTCCAAAAAGTTGAATATTTAAAACATGTAAATAAGAGATGTACATGAAAAAATGCTCGTTTTCCTCCCATTTGAAACATTTTTTAAACTTTTTATGTCTGACTATGTCTATAACTAACTCACTGAAATCCCATAGACAAATCCGTCGAATGCATAACTTCAATACCGGAACAGCTGCAAAAGAAATATTTATCTCTCATATGAGAGTTTATCAAAAAAATATCAAAATAAAACTAAGAGAATCAAGTGTTATATCAAGAGTTGCCCAAAAAAAGTCAACTGGAACGTTCGTCACCTATACTTTCGTCATTGACGAAAGCTGGACAATACTTTCGTCAGCGACCAAAATCTTGTCTGACTCTTGCCAAGTGACCAAAGTCCGCCTTACTTTGATCAAAGTATTGTCGGACTTTCGTCAGTGACAACAGTATCGGGTTGTACTTCGGTCAATGTTCCAATTGGGATCATCTAACTGATGTTGAATGAAGTTGAGAATGGTACATTTCTGCAGTGAACTTTCATCAATTGTCGAAAGCACAGCCACACTTTCGTCAACTGACTAACGTAAAATGGACTTCGGTCAGTTGACAAAAGTCAGACAAAACTTTGGTCAGTGACGAAAGTACTTGTCGGACTTCGTCAATGACAAAAACATTGATGACGAACGTTCCAGTTGACTATTTTTCGATTCCCCAGAATAACAATCTAAATGTCACAGTGAGAGCATAGATTAAAGATGGTTTAAAAAGAAAATTTAGACTGAACTTGGTGTATTTGTAACAGTTTAAAATAATCAAAACTTTGTTTTCTCCGCCGTCGTTTTGATTTCACTGGAACATGCACAACGCCGGAAATAGCGGGAGAATACACATCTCTCGAATAATTGAAAAAGTTGTTATTGTAGATTTATATTCTACTTCACATAACTTTCTTTTTATGAATTTTACATTATCAAAAAGAGAAAGTCTGTTTCACTCGACTCCTATTTGTGATTCTACATGTACAAGTGAAAATGAATGAATTATGCTGCTCGTCAAAACGAGAAACACGTTGTAGATGAAATGTATTATTGTTTTGTATTTTTTATTATTTGAATGAAAAATACGCGCGCACTTAGAAAGAAAAAGACAAAAATCGATAATGTGTTTTTGTGTAGTAAAATACAGAGATATACTAATGACATAGAAAAAAAAGCATTTGTTTTCTTCTTGTAGATCAAAGTTACACACATACACACACGTACGTATAGAGACATGAGAAAAAATGCATATAAAATGTTATGAATAAGAGAGAATATAATTAAACGAATCAAATTAAGGGGGAGGGCAGAAAGTTGTTGATGTCTTTATCTGTTTTAAAACAACAATTGTTTTTGTACACAAAAAAAAAGAAAAAGAAAATTACGTAGACAGAGATACAGAGAGAGAGAAAATCAATATAAGTTATTTTAGTATATCTCGCTCTGAATAATATATATTTATATATATATTTATATGTGCAAAGAGTCAAAACAGAATTAAAATGTAAAAAATTTTTCTGCCTACACTCCCCGGTAGTAGTGGTGCTAATGACAAAATCTGAAGATAAAACAATAACACAATAAGACAATAGTTTTTCTTTTTTAACATTGACATTTAGAATCTTTTCCATCTTGTCCATCTTCTCTAACGCCATTTGGTCCTAAACGATTTGATGGTGGTTTGGGTTGTACACCTGTTTCAGCTGCATTCAAATCCAATGAACCATCTTGAATATTTTGATAAATTTTTCGCGCGGTTTCAATAAATGCATCTTCAACATTGTCACCTGTTTTTGCCGATGTTTCCAAAAATAATAGATCATTTTCATCAGCAAAACGTTTTGCCTCTTCATAGGTTACTTCACGCTGACCATCTAAATCAGCTTTATTACCTAAAATTGATAGGAAAATAAACGTTGTTAAATGGAAATATCAACCAAATTTGAACAAATAGATCAAATGCTAATAAGTTTTCATCATATTCTTTAAAGACAAAATAATTGAGTTATATGTCTTTTTTTACTGGGATATTCGTATACAAAAAATATGTCACCTTCATGTTAAACTTGTGCTCGTGGCAAATTCGAAAAAATTGAAACGCACAAGTTCTGAATCATGAAAGAGCGAGTATAGTGAATGTATATAACAGGTAGATCAAATTAAACGAACCACTTTTGTTTTCTGTTTTTGAGATGCTAAAAGTCGTTTTAAAACTCGGTTTTGAACTCATTCAAAAGGGAATGCATTGCTCTACAAAACTGTTGACTTTGTTTCTCAAATAAATTTTTCTTACCGGTGCAAAATTTAAAAGATGAACATCTACTCAATTGTCCAACGGCGGCGGTCAGAAAACGAAAAAAACTGATGAACATTTTTTAATAACGGTTCCTCTGAATTTTCAAATAAGCCGCAAAGTTCTCCGTAAAATTCTGCATAAAATTCCCCATCGATTGATGCTAAAAAGTTTACTTTTAGTATCGGACTTGATGAGCGTAGGCTTACACAAATCGATAGATGTCTGCAGAAAACAGAAGATCGCAATTCGACGATTAAGTAGGTGTTAATCTTTGAAACTTCGTGTCGACAAGAAAAAGTGATTTGAGAAGCAAAGTCGACAATTCTGCAGAGTAATGAATTCTCTATTGAATGAGTTCAAAATCTAGTTTTAAAACGAGTGTCTCAGGAGCAGAAAACGAAAGTGGCCCATTTAATCTGGCTCACCCGTTAGTTATATGTGCCCTTAAATCTGTATACATATATAGAAAAGTTAAAAGTAAGGCTAGTAGCGGTAAGGATGAAGAGGTTGGGAAAGCCTTACCTCCCAACCTCCTCTTTTCCATGTACAAAGCTACATATGAAAACACCCGTGAAAATATCGTAGACGCACCAATTAGAAAAATGACTGTATTTGGATTTGTTAGAGATCTTGCATCTGTTAACCATCCACTTAAATGATTGTACGTTGCTCGGCGTGTTATATCGTAAACCATCAATGCACCAGCTGCGCCACGATAATAACTTCCTACAAAGAAAAAAGGCATTAATAATATCAAAAACTGAAATAGAAAAAAAAGAAAAATTAATTACGCACTTGTTACAGCACGAAAACGTTCTTGACCGGCAGTATCCCTAGAAAAGACGAATAAATAACAATTAATCACGCGAGTCCGTTCATTTTGTATCTTTTCTTTAATATTCTTCTATTCTTGAAAATATTCTCAATAGCGTCACACTTAAAAAACAAAACAAAATGGATAATACAGTTACACTGTTTTTTTCTTCTTTTAACTACCATTCAAATGAAAAATTCAGCGTAAAAAAAAATTAAAAAAAGATGCACTTTTATCTACCATATTTGTAATTTTATTTTCTGTCCGTTAACTTCAATGATTCTTGTTCCAAATTCGACACCAATTGTATGAGGACAATCAGCCATAAATTTTTTCTCCGTAAATTGATGTAACAAACAACTTTTTCCAACCCCCATATCACCGATAATAATGTACTTAAGTAAAAAAAACAAACAGAAGATAAGTTATATGCTTGTGTAAAAATTGATTATGAATAATGAGAAACATAATAAATCGTCTCTAAACATGTCAATCGATCAGTGGATAAAAAATGAAAAAAATTGTTTCAAACTTTTGGCATTTTCAAATGTTTATAAAAGAGAACTGTACCACTTTTTCAGTAGACTGCCGCAATATTCTTTAAACTAATTCACAAAGTGATCTTTATCTTTTTCTCTTCATTTCCATGTTCACGAAGTTTGAGGAATATAGAGAAAACACAATAAGCTAAAGCTTGTAAAAAGCAAGTAATATCATCTAGTGGAAAAAAGTAAACAATCACCAAAGGAGAGTGAAGGTAACTAACAAAAAACAACAACGGTAAATGATTTAGAAGTGAACATGAGTCGAATATCAACGACGAGGAGTAGTTAAACTATCTCACATGTCCAAATATGCTTGTATAAAAGAAGTAACTGTTGCTATCGTTACTACATTTTCTGGCAAGGCATTCCATTCTATAGCCGTTAGAAGAGGTTACATGTTCACTATCGATCGTGGAGTATCTTAATTTGTCTACTGTTCTGACGATCGATGTCCTTATATATTTCTTTATTTAACACTGCCGTATCTACAGTTCTTTCTTGATGATTAAGACTGTGTTTCAGCATTTAAATATTTCCACATCTGATCTTAAATACATTTGCTATTGACTTTAAAGTCATTTTATTAAAAGCATCTTATAAAAGAAATTCGACTACGAGTGTACGATCGACTGATTCTCGTCCAAGATCATTTTTTCTACAATATGTAAGCGATCGACAGCGATAAACGTGTTGCAATACAAATTATCCACTATGAAGAGTTAGAATAACAACTTAAACACTACTAAAGATCGAAAAGAATTTCTTTAGGTTATCCAATAAACAGCGATCGAATGACCGATTAACATATCTAATTATCTTACAAAATTTTTAAGTAATTCGATGAATAGTTCCTCTCAGAAATCTTCTACATTCGTTCTGAATTTAAAAACTTAAAAGTTGTACAGATATAAAAATAACTTACTTTGAATATATAAGAATAGTTGTATGGTCCTTGGCTTGACATTTTTGTGGATTAAATAAATAATAATAAATAGATAATAAATAGACGCAAGATATAAGAATCAAACAGAAAAGAAGAAATAAACAACAATTTTTTTTGTTTATTCTTCGTTATTAATTAATTTTTGGAATGACGTTTAAAAATTAAAATTATTTGTTTTCTCGTCCAAGTAATTTGATAATACTACATAGAAATCAACTAAGACGATATGCCAAACGTTTTTGAATAAACATGTGCCAAAGAAACTTATTCGAGTAGTAAAAGAATTGGATAAAAACTATGCGGCATTCGACTC